CTAAAGAAGGATGTAAAAGAGATGGAGAGTTATGTTACTGATTAGGGAGAATATCACAGCTTTACTTGAGGGAGGACACCTCGGAGGGCTCACCCAGAGAGGCCATAAAGATAGAGCTCAGGCATAGGAAGGGTACAGTCACTTTGATGGGATTGTACTACAGGCCTCCCAACAGGCAGCAGGGGATAGAGGAATAGATACTTGGACAGAAAATGGAAAAATGCAAGAACAACAGTTGTTACAGTGGGTGATTTTCACTTTCCCTAATCTGACTGGAATTTGCTTAGTGCCAGGGCTTCAATGCAGAGAGGAATTTGTTATGAATGCCCATTATGTTATTTTTTGAATCATGTAAATAGTCCAATGAGGGAAGCTATACAAGACCTGACAGTGGCAAGTGAGCCTGGCCGGGTGATCAATGTTTCAGAGGAGCAGCATTTTGGGAAATAGTGACCATAATTCTGTAAGTTAAGTTACTTATGGATATGGACAAGAGTAGTCCTCAGGTAAAAGTATTAATTTGTGGAAAGGCTAACTACCACAATATTAGACTGTTTAAGGGTAAATCCACATCTGGCATGCAGGAATCTTTTGTAGTCAAGTCATTTTGAGTTGATTAGAGAACAGTCCTGTGAAATTGAAGGATATGGATAGCAAAATTCAGGAACCTTGGATAACAACAGGAATTGATAACTTAGTCAAAAAGAAAAAAAAAGGAGGCATACTCAAGGTTTAGAAAACTGAAGGCAGACTGAGCTCTTGAGGAATACAAAGGTAGCAGGAAAAAAACTCAAATGAAGATTTTTTTGGGGGGGGAGGGGGGTGGTGGGTGCAGTGCTAAAAGAGGCCATGAAATGTCTTTACAAACAGGATTAAGTCTCAAGACATTTTATACATAAAGGAGTAAGAGGGTAACTAGGGAAATTGTAGGTCCACTCAAGAACAAAAGGAGGGAATGTATGCAAGCCAGAAGTGTATGAAGTCCATAACAAATACTTTGTCAGTATTCATAAAAGGAGATGGTGAACCTCAGGAGGGGCATGTTGATACTCTAGAGCATGTCAACATTAAAAAAAAGTGGTGTTGGGTGTTTGCAAAGCATTAAGGTAGACAAGTCCACAGGACCTGATGTGATCTATAAAAGAATGCTGAGACAGACAGGTGAAGAAATTGCTGGGGTCTTGTATGAAATCTTCGTATCCTCTTTAGTCACAGGAGAGGTCCCAGAAGCTTGGGAATAGCTAAAGTTGTTCCGTTATTTAAGAAAAGTATAAAGCTCACTGGCTTATAATTTTCTAGATTATCCCTGTTGCCCTTCTTGAACAAAGGAACAACACACTATTCTCCAGTTGTCTTTGTATCCTCTTTAGCCACTAGAGAAGTCCCAGAACTCTCAAGCCCCAACAATTTCCTCCCTCGCCTTCCTCTGTATCCTGGAATAGATCTATCAGGGCTTGGGGACTTAGCTGCCTTAATGTTTGCAAGATACCCACCATCTTAATATTGATATACCCTAGAATATCAACATCCATGTCCTTCTCCTTGGTGAATACTGATGTGAAGTACACAAGATGATAAGATAGAGCATAGTTAAGACATTTGGCTCATTGAATGGAGGAGCAGACTCAGTTATGGCTGATGTATTTCTCAACCCCATTTACCTGTCTTCTCCCTGTAACCTTTGATCCCCTTACTAATCAAGAATCCCAGTCTTAAATACACTAAATGACTTGGCCTCCACAGCCTCTATGGAAACAAGTTCCACAGATACAAAAGCTTCTGGCTGAAGAAATTCCTCATCTCAGTTGGAAAGGGTCATCCCTTCACTCAGGTCCTCGGGTCCCAGTCTCTCCTACCAGTGGAAACATCTCCATGTCCACTCTATCCAGGCTTCAGTATTTCATAACTTTTGGTAAGATCGTTCTCATCCTTCTAAACTCCATCCAATACGAACCCACAGTACTCAACCATTGCTCATATGACAAGCCCTTACCCACTTTCTCTGGCTCCATGCATCAATTCCCTCCTTTATCCTTGAGCGGACCTATTCTTTCCCTAGCTACCCTCTCGCTCAATTTACAAAATGCCTTGAGATTTTCCTTAATCCTATTAGCCAAGGAATTGCATGGCCCCTTTTTACCCTCGCAATTCCTTGTTTAAGTTATTTCCAGATTCCTTTGTATTCTTCAAGGGGTTTGTCTGATTTCAGTTTCCTAAACCACATTTTCTTTCCTTTTTGACTAACCTTTCAATATCACATTATCCAAAGATCCTGAACCTTACCATCCTTATCTATCAGGCGGACAGGAACATGCTGGTCCTGAACTCTGATCAACTGGCCTTTGAAAGACTCCCACATCAGATATGGATTTACCAAACATCCACCCCGACCTAAGTGCTCCAGCTCCTGCTAAATACTACTGCAATTAGCCTTCCCCAAATTTAGCACATTCACCCTAGGACTGGTCTTATCCTTATCCATTACTAAGACATCAAATTCCCAACATGCACCCCCACTGAAATGTCAATCTCCTAGCCAGGCTCATTTCCCAATACAAGGTCTAGTACAACCCCTCTCCTAGTCAGGATATCTACATATTGTTTCAATAAGCCCTCTGGATGCACCCAATAAGTCCTGTCCCATACAAGCTCTGGTTAAGAGAGTCCCAGTCAATATTGGGAAAGTTAAGATCACTCACTACAAACAACCTCCTTGTTTTTATATCTTTCCATGATCTGCCTACATATCTGCTCCTGTATCCCTCACTGGCTATTAAGTATAACTTCCTAAGATAACCGCTAACGTAAGGGATAATCTAACCCCATCGTGAGTGAATGAATGATTTATTGTCACTTGCATTTTACAGTGAATACAGTGAGAAGCTTCAATAAGACTTCTACACTGCCTCACTGCCACCTGTGAGGGACCCAATGTAGACATTGCCACTCTTCAGGTGCCATCTCACCGATGCCACCAAGTCCCATACTGAACTCACTTGCCAGGAGTCCCTGGCTCTGCTGTTGCATCGATGACGCCAGCAGTCCCTGCTCCGGCCATACCACACTACTGCCACTTGCCAGCACCGGTAGAGTCCGTGGCTCTGCTGCCAGGCCACCTGCTGCACCAAGAGTCCCACAGCAACTGCGGATGTCATTGTGCTGGCGCCAGACTGCTGCCACCACCGCTTCTGATGACCCTGAACACTGGGAGGACGTCCTTACTGCCACTGCCAATGCCTCCAATCGCCCAGAGGATCCATATCCGCCACCACCCCCGAACACCAGGAGGCTGTTGCCACTCCACACGCGGCCCACTCTCACTGCTGTGTCAATGCTGCCGATGAACCCAAAAAGAGTAGATAAACAAAATGAAAAGAGAAGAGGAAAAAAAAAAGAAAGCAGACGAGCCCCAGGCAAGAGCCTGCACGCAACCCTGCTATACCACAGCCAACCTTCACTACTTGGTTGCACCTTTGATTTGTACTCATTTGGCCTCGCTGGCTCCAAGTCCTCCAAAGTGTCCTCCTAGTCTAACATTCTCCTTAATCAAAGCAACTTCCCACCCTTTTGACATCCCTCTGTCATGCCTGAAACGTCTGAACCCTGGAATATTGAGCTGCCAGTTCTGCCCTTCGCTCAACCAAGCTTCTGCAATGACTACAGCATTGTAGTACCATATACTAATACAGGCTCTAGAGCTTATCTACCTTGTTATACTCCTTGCATAAAAATAAATTATCTTCAGACTACCACAGGCCAAGCCTGTGCTTCCAATTAGATTCACTTAATGTCTACCTTCTCCTTGACCACATCGCATGCTGACTACTGCTCTAGTTCCCACCCCAGCCCCACATTAGCCCCAACACCACACTAGCTTAAATCCCAAGTGGCACTTACAAACTTCCCTGCAACAATACTGGTGCCCAGCCAGTTTAGGTGCAACCCATCCTTCTTGTACAGGACCCTCCTGTCCTGGAAGATTCCAATGATCTAGCTAGCTGAAGCCCTCCCACCTACTCCAGCTCTTTAGCAACACAGCTGTATTATCTTCCTATGTCTGGTCTAACTGGGCAGTCTATAACCACAGCTGTCAGTCTCAGGATAGGCCATTTAGGACTGAGATGAGGAAATACTTCTTACTCAGTAGTCAACTAGTGCAATTAGCTACCACAAATGGTTGTGCAGGCTGGCTCAGGAGTATACTTAAGGAAGAGATACATAAATTGAGATATTAAAGCCACCAACAGGTCTGGAAAGAAAATGGGAATAAAGGTAAAGTTGCCATAGTCCCGGCAGGCTGCGCTCTCATTCACACAGATGACTGTTGATGGTTTAACCAAAGTGTCACCATGCCTCAGACAAGGGACAAACTTCAGAAGGTGAGAAGTTCAAAAGGTAACCTCAGCTGGTGCAGGAATTAAACCCACATTGTTGGCTTCATTCTGCATTGCAGAACAACCGTCCAGCCAACAACCTCAAAACAGAAGACAGCATTAAGGTAGAGGATCAGCCGTGATCATGCTTAACGGTGCAAACTCAAAGGGCTGAGTGGCTAACTCTAGTTGCCTGGTTTCTATGGCATGGGTACTATGGGGGTGGGGGGGGTTAGGGATTATATATTTACAATGTGCTTCAAAATATTTAAACTTGCTGCATGCAAATAGTTTTTCAGTTCTATTTCAGTTTGTGTAATGATGCGCTTTATTTGGTCACCATTGCAAGCCTTCCAGGTGAGGAGACTGGGTGCCCCCCTCAAACAACCAATTGTCACATGTTGCAGTACACCACAGCTCCTGCATATTATCAGCACCTCATTCAGTCATTGCTCGAGAGTCCCACCCCTCATTCATCACCACTATTCATCTTGTCCACACATCCAGAAAGATCAAAATCCTTGTCCTCTTCAAGTGGGAAATAACAGAGGGCTCAAACAGTCAGATTAGAAAATTTATCTAATGCTAAACAGGAGTTTGGCAGATTTATAATTGCAGAAATAGTGATCATTTGATTCTCATTTTATATATATATTTAAATACATTACAGAGTATACAGTGCTTTATCAGAACAGTACGTTATAGTCAGTGTCCAAGCAAAGAAAAGCAGGTTTCAACTGGCAGAATCATTACTTGTTATTAATTCCTCTGATGAGCAATGTAGATGGTCCAATAAAGCCTAGTAGTGCTATACTGAGGGCCCATGCTTGGCATATCCCTGCAGAATATTTATTAGTATTTACTTGTACTGAATGCAGCAGTTCAGACTGAATGGATGTTTGTCCTTCCATTCCCATGTTACCATGAATGGTGTTTCAATGCCAGGATGTTGGTCATAACTAAGACAGGATCGCTGCTGGGAGAAAAGAGTGAGATCGACTAGGAGAAGCCAAAAAGGTCAGAATGAGGGGGATTGGATGAAAAAAAAAAGGACAATGTTGAGGTGTAGAACAATCAACTGTGCTGAAAGTGGGCCCCTGGACTCCAGACATCTGAAGGAAGTGGAGAAGAAAATATGTTCCTTTGGGTAGACTGTGACCATCTAGAGGCTCCTAGCTATTTAGGCCATCCCTCAGGGAGGAGTCATAAGGTTGATGCCTTACATTCCTTTCTACTTTATAGCTTAAATGGGAAATATCTTGTCAGAAATCAATCCCTACAAGGCAAAAAAACCATGACAGTATTGTAAACATGTTTCTCCAGTCAATAACGCAGCACTGTTGCTCAAATGCTTATGACTTGAGCTTTGATCTACATACAGCAATAAGTTCACAGGTTCAATGACAAAGAAAAATTGGGGATTGGTTTGCCACTTGTGTGACTGAAGATCAGTCACGAGGAACACCATGAAGCAGATCTCCTCTCACTGGCCAGTTTATCCAAATGGGATTTCTTGACCAGCGTGTCCTCAGTTAGAAGAATTCAATTCTGCCAGAAGTAATGCACGATCCAGAGATTTTACAGACGAAACAATCAACAGAACTTCCTTCACCACAGCCATCCTACAAAGCAAGGCCTTGCTGTCCCAGGATCCCATGCTGCTCTGGTAAAAGAACAGATCTTGGATCCTCCAAGGTAGGAAGGAAGTTGCCCAAATTCTCATTAAAAAGGACCTGTACTCAGATGTGTAGACAATGGGTGGGTACAGCTCAGGATTATACTCAGTTGGTATTTTTTGGTTAAGCCCAACCAGGACTGACTGTTCTGGGATATGGTGGAGAAAGTTAGAATATGAATAAAGAAAGTTATTAAAAACAAAACCTTGGGAGTACAACACAGGTGGTACCGTTCAGCAAGCAACTTATTTTGGTTATTTACAGCTACTGGTCGAGGAGAATCAGCTCTGCAGATGGATGAGATTTCTAACAGCAAGATTCCACACAGTTCCCATTTGCTATGCAGGTTGGCGCTAGAAACACACACCAGGAGACAAGAAAATAATGATTCAGAAGTAACCAAGATAGACCAAGTACAGTCTTGAGACTTGAGTGAGGCCATAGACTTAAGACTAACAACTACCCAAATGAAGAGGTAAAAAAGTGGAACAGCGAGGGAACAGAGTGGGTCTTCAATCATGAGTGCAACTTGTGATTAAACACACCAAACCATGGGATAGAAACAAGTGCAGTGCAAGTCCCTCAAGTGTGGGGGAAAAAAAAAAGGATTTTGGGAAGTGCTCATCAATACAAGTTGAGGTCTGCCTCAAACTATACCATCCTTTCTTCCCTCTGCCACCAAGTTGTGAAACATCTATAATCTCCAAATTTTGATTTACTGCAACTAAAAACAGAACTTTACACCTTCCAATGCAGTAAACTAGAGTCCCATGCTTGTAGGGAGGAGAGAGAAAGATTTCTGGTGAATTCAAGAGCAGGGAGAAAAACAAATAGGTCACTGGTTAATTAAAAGCTGACAGAGAGATTTGAATTTTAGTTAAACAACAGTGCAAACCAAGTATTCTTGTGATATTTTCATCAGCATCCAGATCAAACTAAACTTCATCAGATCCTAAGACAGTGTTACTTACATATTGCAAACAAAGTTCATCAGCAGCTCATGTTCTAGTGAATTTTCTTCTTAAAAGAAGCTCAAATACATCCCTGTGCAAGTCACAGACCGCAAAAGGAAGCAACTGGACCCAAACTATTGCAATGTATTTTCAGTGCAGTAGTGGTTAAACTAGGAGTGCAAGATGCAATTTAGTTCAAAAGAATCATCTGACAAAATGGAATTGGGCTGGTGGCTTAGAGATCCCAAAATTTTACATACTTCTAGAATCTTCCCAGAGATTGCAGTCAGACAGTGAGTCACATTGTGTGTGACACAGAAGCACATGAAACAGGATCTTTACAGGCTATTATCTGCAATTATTCTGACTGGAACAAGATTTGAGCAGCAAAAGACCATGTTAATGCATAATCCCTTAAGTATTTGATTCACACACATTCCTGTGGCCTTTAAACAAATGCTATCACTTTTTTTCCTCTGACTGCACAATAACGATTCAGTCCTGCTGTATGCTACTCAGGTAGGAGGAGATAATGGAAAACTCAAAATGCAGAAAGGGATGGGGTGGCAGGGGGAGGAAGAGGTCTGTACTGAATCTCAAACCTCATTCAGATTAATATTATATCATCTATGTTTCAACAGACTAAATGGGAGGAAAGAAGTGCCTCCCTTTTAAGTTGCAGTGGCCCGATAATTCACAGGTGATGCTCATAAGTTAGCCGCAGATCTGCAGGCAGTTTTTTTAAAAAGTTAGAGAACAATTTAACATGCCACTTGTAAAACACGCCACTTAAAATCAACTTTCCTTCAAGACAGACTAATGTGAACTGTTGTGCCGGATTCATGGGGCCCCATTCCTTCATTTTTAAATGCATTCTGCTAAGGACAGTGAGGTATGCATAAGGAAATGGAGGAAAACCCACAAAATGACAAGTCAATAGACAGGACTACTCAACCCACTGAACTATGTCATGATGAGGATCATTCCTAGCAATGCCTGACTGCACTTCACTGTGCTCCAGCGTTCTCAGTAAGAAGGGTGCAGTGAGGGGAGGAATCTCACACCGAAGGGACAATTTTGATGTGGCTTCAACAGAGCCCATAGTACAAGTAATTGTCCTTTACTCACTCACCCCAAAAGGCATGGCTTTTGTGACCTCAAGCACCTGATCCAAATGGTGATGCACAACCACAAGTAGTGTTGGCAGGTTGTCTGAACACAAGAGGATTCGGACCAACCTCCATACGTATTTTCTTGCCATGGCTGCTCAACAGTGATCAGGAGCAGGAATTCACATTCGGCCTCTAACCTAGATTAGTTTTAGCCACCTCCCCCAGTTACCTCAGCCTCAACTGTTAAAAGTGATGCATTACAAAATTAACATTAAAAATCTCACTACTCACTTAAGGTCTGCTCAACTTTATTGGTTTCTAACCTCACTCCCCACCTCAAAAATCATTAAATAACAAGGCAACTTCAGCTATTGCAAGGACAATAACAACCCATGGGGTAATCAATTTAAAAATCAGTCCTAAATGGACCAGAATGAAGAATCATTCAAGAATTTTACCATATATAGTCATCCACTATACAGCTGCAGCCTCCAACCTCCTTGCCCGAAGCCAGAGTCCCTTTTAGACACAAGTGGTAGTTACTTTAAGGGTGGGTAGGGGAGAGGATCGATTGCCTGACCATGTTCATGACAGGCTGGTTGTACACGCTATTCTTGGGCTTCAACCTAATCATTCTTCCACAGCATTTAGCTCACGCAAGCACCAGAGTGTGAAGGCACTGGATTGTTTTTTTTTTTAAAAATCCTGTCCTGGAGGCTCTAGAGGGACATCAGCTGAAGTACAAAAGAAAAATTTTAGCATGCTTATGGACTTAAGTTTAAACATCCAAGAACACCGCGCTGTTAAAACCTTCAGTTCATACTGTAGCTGCAACTACAGATTCAAAATAGCTTAAAAATAAGGCATTTATTTTCATGAGGGTCTGGTTTGTGTAAATAAAGCCTGTCACCTGGCAAGTGAACAGGTGATGCAGAGCTCAGCACAAATGTAAACTAGCAAGAAATCTCAAGCCAAGCACACTTTCAGCTGCAAGATAGTCTCAAAGCTAAATATTGAGAGAAAAGACCTCAACATTCAAAATAACACGGCTGCCCAACTCACCTGGCTAAATTGCCTTCTGATTAATACAATCAAATAAAAACTAAACCCAAAACAGCCATATTTGTCAGTGCTGTAGTTTCCTTTCTTTTTGTGACCTTGTGCTCAAAGTGGAGGCCTTTGTTAAAATAGCTTCACTTACCATTCACATGATTCGAGTAGGTCCTTTTGGTTTTGCCCACAAGCTGTTTGTGTTAATTGCTCCGACTTAGAGTTTTGGGATGAACGAATGACAATAATTTTACTCACCCCTCAGTGACCAGAAGGAACTCTACCCACTACTGCTCAGTGACTAGAAGGAATCCCAATTCCAAATGAAACTCAGGAACGAGCAAGCATTTGAACATACCCCGTTGCTACCACACGAGACATGGATCAGTTACAAGAGGTAAGTACCCATATCTGATCCTTCACATAATTCAGTAGAATAGTTCAAGCCAAGAACTAAGGGTATGTGCAGTAGTCTTTCCAGTAGGGGGCAGAGAGGGTAACAGAAAGCAGGCACCACAAATGGTGACCCATCATTGATCTCCTTTTCTCTCAAATAGAGTAGAGTTGCAGTTGTTCAGTCTAGCCAGGAAATGAAAACAAAGATTTAATTTTCTGTTTTAGGTGACATTAAAGCAGGTCAGCTCTCAGAATAACCGTAAGTTTAAAGAAGTTTTCATCTGTTGCTTTCTTACACGCTCACCCCAGCATCCCTCCCAGAGGTCAGGCATCTCCCACATGGTCAGATTGAAAGCAGCAAGAGCAGGGAAACCAGGTTTTTTTTTGGAGGGGGGCAGACTGAGGAAGACAGAAGTAGGAGTTAATGATTTGTTCAGCCTACTGCTCTCTCCAGTTTAAAACAGACTCATCTCATTTCTCCAAAAGAAAAGTGCAAGTGGGTGGAATCGGGAAAGTGAAAAAGAAATGCAGTTAGGCTGAAGGGCAAGGAAAAGGAAATGCAGCAGCTGCCCAAATCTGAATCTACTCAGCAGACCTGTAGGTCACAGCAAGGTGCCATGATATACTGAGTACACAGAACAGCTACTTGCACGTTGTGCAATGTCTGTTAGCCATTCTTCTGGCATTTTTAAAAAAAACATGCGGTATTGGCTTCTCGGTTAGATTATTTCTTCTTGACAATTACCTCGGCTATGTAGCTTAACAGTCATTTCACATGCATATCTTTTCCAATGCCCCAAGCCCCCTCTAAAGCACAGACGATGTAAAAAGAAAGGTGGCTGGGGAAGGGGAAAAGATGCTTCAATACCAGCCACAACTGATTTTTTTTTTAATATATAGAATTGTAAAATCATGCTGCATATTCAAAGCAGAAGGTTCCAATTCAGTAAGTTGAAGCACATTTTGGTCCAGCTGGCATTCACATTAACACTGGCTGCACCGAGTGCAGATTTATATTATCTTATTCATCTTCTAGTTCACCATTCGCCCACTTCCACAGCTGGATCTTGAGGCTACTGATACCTTCTTCCCGGACTTTCTTCTCGAGTACAGCATCAGTTTTGTCGCAGTCCTCTACGTTAATTTTTTTCTCCCTCTTATAAACACAAACAGCAAAGCAGACTTGAAAGGAACATGATCGGATTGAGAGATTCCTAGACCAGCACAACCAGAGCACACTGTGAAGTGCATCTGGTTGCATTTTGAACCAAAACAATTTTAGTGCAAAGGAAGATAAATCAAATTCCAGTTTCAGGGACAGGTGGTTGGGGAGCGGCTTAAGACAGGTGCTGGTAGCCTGACCACACATCAGCTCAGCTGCAGCAGCTATAAAGAGTCCAGTGGAGGGCAGACAACCCAGCACCCATCTGATGAAGTGAATATACGAACAACTGTTGTGGAGGGGGAGGGGGGAATTCAGGGTAGACAAGAAAGGAAAAAAGTGTTCGGGCTTTTTTGGGGAGGGGGTGGAGAGAAACAGAAGGTGAAGGAATTAAGTGCAAATCACTCAATAATTCCCCTCGCACACCATTTCTTGCTGATGTAGTGAAGTCTTGTGCAATAATCACATGTGGGATAAAACACAAAGTAAGGTTTTCTCTCTCTCTCTCCAGCTATGACAAGTCCACTGAGTTCTCACATCCTGGAGAGGGGAAAGAGGCCCAGGATTATCAGGTTATTCAACCAGCAAGCTGTTCCCAGGGGTGGTGTTCTCTTTCCACATCCAGTTGTGCTACCACCATGTAAAGAAAGGCTTTCTGCTCTGGAAGCTCTGTGTGTACAAGTCGTTACTGCGATGGTGGCTTCGAGTTGTTTCCACAATGACGGGCGGGATGTGGATGAGCAGCAGCGGTGACTTCCCATCCTTTAAGGCCTGCATGAGATTTAGGATCTGGGATTGAGGTGGGTGGTAGGAAGGGAGTAGGTGATGGGCAGGGTTGGAGGAAGGTATAAAAGAGAGAGGGGGTAAGGAACAAAGGAGAAAGCAAAGTTATTTTACAACAATATTAGACTTGACACCAGACAGATTATTCACAGAATGATTCAGTGTCTGTTCCTTCTATCTTAAGGGAATGGGGTGGAGGGGTTGGGAAGCAGGACATCATCTCTCCTGTTCCAGCTATGAGTAAACATTTAGCAACGTTTCAGAAGTTTATCCAGGTGGTTTCACATCCAGTGCCAGACTAGACAGATGAGCTGTGGAAGACTATTCAGCAGCTTAAAAGAGAACAGGCAAAGCCAAAACTTTATGCAGTCTCTACATGCATAGCAAATCTTGACAGCACAAGGGTTACCATGCGATTTGATCATGAAATGCGTCAGCCAAGCCTGAACCCTTAAGTGTCTCTGACAATCTTCACGTGGCATATACTTTGGGGAGTCAGTCACTGGATTGTATTTATTTGTTCGTGGGGGTGTGCGTGTCACTGGCTGGCCAGCATTTATTACCCATCCCTAGTTGCCCTTGAAGGTGGTGGTAAGCTGCTTTCTTGAAAGAATGTGGTCCGTGTACCGTGCAGGGACCTACAATGCCCCGAGAGGGAATCCCAGGATTTTGACACAGTGACAGTGAAGGAATATTTCTAAGTCAGGATGGTGAGTGACTTAGAGGTGATTGTGTTCCCATGTATCTGCTGCCATTGTTTTTCTAGATGGATGTGTTTGTGGGTTTAGAAGGTGCTGTCTGAGGATCTTTGAATTTCTGCAGTGCATCTTGTAGATAGTACACACTGCTGCCACTAAGTGTCAGTCATGGAGTGAGTTGACGCTTGTAGATGTAGTGCCACTGTCCAGTGGCATAGGCTAATTTTCCAGCAACATGAGTTTAAATCCCACCATAGCAGCTGGTGGAATTTAAAAATTAATAAGTGCAGAATTAAAAACCAATATCAATAAAAGGTGACCAATTTGGTTCACCAATATCCTTCAGGGAAGAAAAGTTGTCAGCCTTGTATGGTCTGGTGTACATTTGTTTTAATTTGTTTGTGGTATGTGAACATTGTTGGCTTGGCAAGCATTTATTGCCTATCCCTTAATGACCCAGAAGGAAGTTAAGAATCAACCACATTGCTGTGGTTTTGAGTCTTACGTAGGCAGACCAGGTAAGGATGGCAGTTTTCGGACCTGAAAGAACATTAGTGAACCGGATGTGTTTTGATCAGTGGTCACATGGTCACCATTAGACCTCATCTGACTCATGACCCACATGAGCCAGCATTTATTGCCGATCTGTAAAGCAGACATTAACTTTTAACAGTCCTCTGTAATGGCTGAGCAAACTAGTTCAAACAAAATCACGGCCTTGCCAAAGGACACCCACATCATGAAGAGTAGTTTAAAAAACTTGCAGGTTAGCTGACTTAATACTCCCCAGCTCAGAGGCACTCATGTCTATTGCCTACTTTAGCAGGGATAGCGGACTGTGCAGACAATGAATACTTTTTTGGGTCAGCGTGTAGCAATGGTAACATTTCAAAAACTAAAATAATAGTAAAACAATTCCAGAGGTCACCAGTTACATCAGGCAATGCAAGAATTTGATTCAGTTTCCTACAAGATCTGTCTGAGGGTGTAGTTCAACATAAGGGCCACTCTTGATTCATGTAAAAAAGAGAAGTGAAAGTTGTAATAACAATGGATTGGGCAAGCAAGGAGAATGGGAAAAACCCCCCAGTGAATACTGACCAGGAATAGCCACTGTGATAAAAACAGTGTGGAGAAACTCAGATAGTAGGAACTGCAGATGCTGGAGAATCCGAGACAAGGTACAGAGCTGGATGAACACAGCAGGCCAAGCAGCATCA